GATTCTTCTCTACTTTACATTGTATCATAGAGAGTAGTGAGTGAAGCTTTCATTAATTCGGTTAATCACACTTTTTTTGAAAGTATATTTTTCATACTAATCAACCTATATATTTATTAAATATGAATCTTGGACAAGAGTTTTTTTTTTAATTTATTTATAATTTTTTATGAGAGAATTTGTAATTTTGTTTATCTAATTTAATTTTTATTTATCATAATTATTTATGAATGTTCAAAAAAAAATCTATTTATGAATTAAATATTATTAGTTTTGATATAAATAATAAATAAATCAATCTCAATAATTTAAACAGGAACCACAATTGAGTGAGAGTATTTCTACAATTTTTCTTTAACATTAGATTAAATCTCTCTTTCTTACTTCTTTATCAATTTATTTCCTTAGACAAATTTGAAGGAATGAATGATGATGCAAACTACACAATTATAATTAATAACAAAAAATTAAAAGTGTAGGAATGGTAGATCTATCTATGGTAGAAGTTGTGCTTAAGAGGGAGATACTTAAGTCAATTAGTGAGGTTAAGAGTTTTCTTAGATTAGCTTATTATTATGGGAGGTTATTGAGGAAATTTCTAAGATAGCATTACCTTTGACTAGATTGATTAGGAAGAGTGTTGTCTTTGTGTGGGATAGTACGTGTGAGAGTAGTTTCCAAACTTTTAAGGAAAGATTGACTAGTGTGTCAATGTTAATATTACCGAATTTTGGTAAGTCTTTTGTGATGCTTCTAAGTTAGACTTGAGACGAAATACCTTACCTATGACTTTAAGTTAGCGGTTGTAATATTTATACGAAGATTTGGAGACACTACCTATATGATTCTAAGCTTGAGGTATTTAGTGATCATAAGAGCCTTAAATATCTTTTGACCAAGGGAGCTGAATATGAGACAAAGGAGATAATTGGAATTTCTTAAGGAATAAGATTTTGATCTTATTTGTTATTTGAGCAAAGCCAATGTGGTGACCAGTGTTTTGAGTAGGAAACCTTAAACATTTATTTTCCCTTATGATTAAAGAGATGGATCTTTTGGCTCAAATTAGGGATTTAAGTTTGATTGGCGATATTACTCCTAGTAGTGTGAAACTAGGTATGACTCGGGTAACAAGTGGATCGTTGAAAGAAATTAGAGAAGCATAATTAGTTTATTCATTTTGGTGTCAAGATATGAGGCTATATGATAAAGTAATGGATAAGAGTTTGCCTTAGATATAGATGGAGTAGTAAGACTTTGAGACCGAGCATGTGTACCTAGTGAACTTATGCTTAGGTGTTTGATCTTTGGAGAGAGGCATATAAATAAAAATAATATTGTGACTGATGCTTTGATTAGGATGACCATTCACCTATCATCTTTGATGATTTAAAGGTTGGATTTGATAGAAGAATTTAGAGACTTAAGCGTGATGTGTGAGCTCACCCTTAAGAGCATTGGATTGGGTATGTTGAAAGTGACTAGTGAATTGATGGATGATCTTAGAGGAGGGACATAAGAATACTCTTAGCATTCGTTTAGGAGCTATTAAGATGTATTAGAGTGGCGCAGCGAAAGCGTGGTGACCTAAGATAAAGAGAGAAGTAGAGTAATTTGTGTACTCGTGTTTAGTATGCTATAAGTCTTTACAAATTTTGTAGCTTTTAGACATCCCATTTTGGAAGCGAGATGGTGTGTAGATAGACCTTGGTGGTAGGTTTGCCATAAGATGCTTAAGAAATTTGATTCTTTTTGGGTTATAATGGATAGAATCACCAAGTTTACATGTCTTACCTTTATTGATAATAGATATTCCTTGGAGAAATTGATAAAGTTGTACACTAATAAGGTAGTGAGGTTATATGGGAATTAGAAAGTATGATGCGAGGAGCCTACCCATTTCTGTTTTCAGGAAAATTTTGGGGACGAAATTTCTAAAAGGAGGGACAAATACCATATAATAATAATAAAAACTGGGATGTTACATTCTCTCTCTCTCTATATATATTAAATAACCAATAAATAAAATAATTTTATGTCATAAAATAAATTATTTATCATAAATTGAAAATAAAATTTATATATTTAAAAATATCTATTTATACAAATTCTATATAATCTATGTATTCAAACATATTATATATATATATATATATATATATAATTTAGTATAAATTTTAATTATATAATAAATATGCATGAGAATTGCACATGAATCCCGAAAAAATTCCTAGTTTGTATTTAATAGACGGAAAATTTTAAATTTTGAAATGGTTGAAGATTTTAATTTTTTTATTTAAATTTCCTCCATTTTATAATTATTTTGTTGGAATAATTTATTTCAAATTTCTTGAATTTTAAGTAAAAATTTTCTTAACTTAGAAAAGAGAATTTAATTTTAACCATATACAATTTTTTTAATATATATAAAATTTTGAAATTTCAAAAATTATTTTTTAATTTAAAATAAATATTACTCAAAGTTTAAATATTTAATAATTCAAAAACATTAACGATAGATAATATTGAATAATTCAAAATAAATTTAAATTTTTGATAACTAAAAAAATTGATCAATTTATTTCAATGTTAATATATTAAAAAAAATTGAAAAGGAATGGAGAGAAGAAAAAGAGAGAAATGAGAGAGATAAAATCGAAAAAGAAAATAAGAGGAGAGAGAGAGGAGAAAGAGAAGAGAGTGAGAGAAACATGAAAAAAAAAATAAAGAAGAGAAATAAGAAAATAATCACTTATAATCTCAATATTTGAATAAAATTATTAAATGAATGAATTGTGTACAAATTATACAAACAAAGTTTCAAGAAATTCATATTTGATTCAATATTATAAAACTTGTTTATATTAAAAATAATTTTTTTTATTAAATATCAGAAGACTTTTTTTAATAAAAAAAAATCTTTTAAAATTTTAATTCAAAACACTCTTTAATTTAAGATTAATTTTATCTTCCTAATTTATTTTGAATCATAAAAAACCTAACATTTCTAATTTATTCACGGACCCTCTCAAGTTGGTGCAAATGTATCAATACCTGGTGACTTGATTTTTTTTAATGGAAATGAGGAAAAATTAAATTCTAACCAATGTTTAAATAAAAAACTTAATTATATTTTTTACATAAAGTTTAAAATGTTACACGAATATCAAACCCCCACCAGAAAGAAATTTACATATTTTTAAACAATATTGTTATATAAACATCATTGATTCTTTTGTATTTATCATAAATTTTTTTATTGTAATCTACAAATTAAATACGCAATTATTTTATAATTAGTCCTAGTTATTTTTTTTATTTCATAATGATGAAAACACAACTTTAAAGAAAATCATAATTATAAAATATAATATAAATCAATTCTTATTATTATTACACTAGCATTTATAAATTATAATAGTATAGATGAAACGAGAAAAATAATAAATCTTGTTAAAAAGTACCCCAAAACCCTAAATCAGACACAATTCAACACTTTGTTATGTCACGTGAATTGCGTTGCTTGAAACACAACAGCTATTAGATTATACAACTTTGTGATTTACACCTTCAAGCCTCTCTGAATTTTGTGGAACACTACTAAATGTCTCAAAGGCTTCTGTTTAAGTTTCATTCTGCATGTTACTGTTATTTATTGAGTTAATTGAGATTTTGTAGGGCTCTGCTATGATACTCCTTGAGATAATAAATTTGAAGTATTTTCCCTCTTAAATTAGATGGTATAATATGGTGTAAGCAAGAATATATATGAATTATGAAATAGAATAGTTGATATTCTGTGTTACATTACACCCATAACACAGATTAGTTAGCTATCACAGTACATGCATAAAATTAATGCTCTAAATATTGATACTACTTATATATATATGCTTATAGGAAAATGGAGCTTATGATTTGTCTGAAACCCAACATACTAATATGTGATGTTGTTCCCTTTACTATCTCCTGAGAACACAATATAGTTGTATTTGGATAAACTTTTAAGATTCTCAAGTGAGATAAAATTTTCTTACACATAAGTTAAATTAACAAACATTTTGGAAAAGCTGGTATTTGAGAGCCCTTTTCATTTTCATTTTTGGAAAAACTTATTTATTTTACTTTTTTTCTTCTATAAATGCTTAAAAAAAATTATCCAAACAAATTTTAAATTTACTTCAATATATTCTTTTGGAGCATGGTATAATTGAATCTGTATTCAAATTGTGAATTGAAAGATTATTTTTTTAATCGTAGATCATAATAAGATTCATAATCAATAATAAAACAAGTATATACAATTAATAACATATTAAAACACATTCTTAACAACTAAAAAAATATAATTTTCGTAACATAAGATACATAGTTCTATTAAAAATTGTTATAATAGAATATTATGAAAATTTATAATAAATATTCTGGCAATAAGGTTATTATATATTAAAATTATAATAAATATTTTGATACTGAATTTGTTTGTTTAATTTTTTAAATAAAATAAGCTCTTTTTATTTTTTTATGTGTTTTTCTATTTTTTAATTCTTAAAGAATTATTTTTTTAAAATATTTATTTATAAATACTTCTTTTTAAGTTTAAACAAATGGAGCCATTATATTTATTAATTATTATATATTAATATTAATTAAAAAATCACATTTAGAAACTATTATAGATTTTATTTATTATATTATATAATAAATTTTATGATAAAGATATTAAAATAAATACTGATCACATCGATCAAATATTTTTAATTGGATAATAGAATAAAATTAAAACTACAATAATTATCCTTTCATTAAAAAATATTATAAATATGAATTTATAATTAAAATATTTGAATATTATATTCATTATATATTTATATTTAAAAATTAAAATAAATTTTATTTATTATATGCTATAATATGTCTTATGATAAATATATTAAAATAAACAAACGGTTCTTAAAAGAAAAAAAAAAAAAAAAAAACCAATACGCTGTCGTTGCAATTAGGGTTGTGCATACCCACTAAGGCACAAAGACACTTGTACCGTGAGAAGCGTTGCTCCGCTGCAACAGCCAAGCACGACGGTCCCTGGAGCCTACAGGTCTTGCATAAGCTATCTCTTTTGAACCAAATTCGTGCGATTCAATGTGCAATTTGGGAACTAAAACTATGATTCTCATCGTTTTCCATTGTATTGTATTGTTATATGTCAATTCTTTCCTGTCACGGAGCTTCTGCAAGCTTGTCAAAGCTTTGAATTTTGTGGTTATATTAAATATAGTTAGTTAGTGATTGTAGTTTATATGCTTGATGCAAACTATTTTGTATGCCCCATTGTTTGGTTTTCCTATTCAATTGCATGATTCATAGTTAGACTGCTTCAATCAAGTTATACAAGCTTGTATTACTCGCAGACTAGCACTTTCTGTTCATTCCTAAATACATGGACACTGATGCAATTGGAGATCCTGTTGACAAGCTCAAAGCAATCCAGAATGACGGTGAAGAAGATCAAGATGAATATGATGATTTTGATGATGATGATGATGAAGAAGAAGAAGATGAACCTATTACTCTTGGTTTTGTGGATAAGCCAAAGAATCAATGGTCTCTTCACCGTCAATATTTCCCAAGCAAAGCTGGAGGAGTCCCTGTACTTTGCCATCTCATTGAAATTGTTTACACTTTGCTTCTGTCTTGCTTTATTCATCGAACTCAAGAGTCAGTTTCTGATGGTTATATGATCTGTTGTGATTAACAGGCTTGGCTTGACCCTCTGAATATACCGTCAGGGAGATCATCTATGTGTGACATTTGTGGAGAACCTTTACAATTCTTGCTTCAGGTATGAAGCCAATGCCTTGTTTCATTGTTTGACGTTTGTGTTGTACCTATTGATTGTGATATTGTATTAAACTCTTGAGTTGCTAGGTTTATGCACCAACTGAGAAGGAAACTGCATTTCACCGAATGTTGTTTGTTTTTATGTGTCCTTCCATGAAATGTCTTCTCAGGGATCAGCACGAGCAATGGAAACGCCATCCAGAAAAGCCGTCTAGAAGGTCAGTGGTCATCCTCTGTGAAACAGATATTTCCATTGTTTTAGTTCCTTTGATGGTTGATATCTGATTATGTAATAATTTATTGAAGTGTGAAGGTTTTCCGTTGTCAATTACCTCGCGTGAATCCATTCTACTCACCTGAATGCCCTCAGTATAATGAGAGCCACAAACCTGCTGGCAGTGGAGGTTGGTTTACTCATCATTAGAAAAGTTTTTCTTCATTTTGCAGAAAATAATCTCATCTTACAAATATTTGTTGTGAGTCTTGTGACCATTAATTTAAATTCATTTCCTGAGTTTTATGAGTGTTTACTTGTTTAAGCTTTTAGGGTAAATTGTGCCCTGGGGGAAAACAGGTGTTCACTATTGTCTAGAGATCTTCTGCTTTGGTATGGTGAAGAGAGATTACTGTTTCTGTTGGATATTTATTTGCTTTCTGTGTTTGTGTATATTGATTTATCAATCCTTATGCTCATGATTGTTTCATTGTGAGTACTGAGTACTAGTGTCAGGGAGTCCTGCATGAAGTAAAAAGAGTTATGAATCTTCATACTCATGTTATCCTTCCTTCTGTTATTGCACATAGTGGCACCATGCTTTTATCAGGAAAAACTACATCAATCTAGTTGCCCTCATACGCCTCAACAAAATGGTGTAGCTGAGCGAAAACATAGGCATATTGTGGACACTACTCGTACTCTTTTATTGAATGCCAATGCACCTCTAAAGTTGTGGGGAGATGCTGTACTTACTGCAGGGTATTTAATAAATCGAATGCCATCCTCTGTCTTGAATGATCAAGTACCTCATTCCCTATTATACCCATTGGATCCCATTTACTCTGTTCATCCTCATGTCTTTGGTTGTACTTGTTTCGTCCATGATCTTTTCTCAGGACGTGCTAAGTTGTCTGCTCGGGCTATCAAATGTGTGTTCTTAGGATACTCCCGTGTTTAAAAGGGGTACCGCTGTTACTCTCCTGCTACGCATCGGTTTTACACTAGTACAGATGTCACTTTCTTTGAAAATACACCATATTTCGTTACTACAGATGTCTCTTCGGTTGACTCAGATCTCCTTTCTCAGGTATTGCCTATTCCTCATTTTGATCTCGGTGTGCCTTCTACACCTACTACTTTAGAGGCACTAGAGATTCCTCCCACACCACCAGGGTTTGATCGTCCTCTACATCGATTTGGGATAACTTATGAGCGTCGGTCACATACTACTGTTCCTCCCAGTGCTTCTATAATTAACCCATCCAGGATGGTGACAAGCAATTGATGAGATGACAACTTTAGACTCAAACTACACTTGGGTACTTGTCCCACCTCTGCCTGGAAAATCTGTTGTTAGTTTTCGGTGGGTAATGTTAAAGTAGGCCCTTATGGACAGGTGGATAGATTGAAAGCCCGTCTTGTGGCTAAGGGATACACGCAAGCAAGTATATGGTTTGGACTACAGTGACACTTTCTCTCCAGTTGCGAACATGGCCTCGGTTTGTCTCTTCTTAGCCATGGCTGCTATGAGGCATTGGCCTTTGTTTCAATTAGACATCAAGAATGCCTTCTTACATGGTGATCTAGAGGAAGAAATTTATATTGAGCAACCTCTCGGGTTTGTTGCTAAAGGGGGCTCCTCCAAGGCTGCTGATGCTGAGGCGGTCGACCTCACCGGGAGCTCACCGCCTGGAGGGGCTTCCCAAATGGCCGCCGCGTAGACTGCTGAGCAAGTTGCTCCCTCTGCCGAGGTAAGTGTCTTTTTAACTTTTCGTCTATGTTGATTTTTCTTGGTTTGTTGAGGTGCTCTCGCTTTTTGCAGGCAGGGAACATTGCTGAAGTGGGGGCCCAGGTTGCTGAGCAAGTCGCTCAGGCCGCCGTGGTGAGTACTTTGCCTTTCCTTTTTCCTTCTATCTTCTATGCTATTCTTTTGTCCGCTGAAACGACCGTGGAAGGCTTCGACGCTGCTCAGGTCTTCCTGCAAAGGACTATGGCCATTGTGGACCACTGGAAGCATAAGTGGTCCAAGCAGCAGGGGGACCTGGTCAGACTGAGGGGCTGAGTTCAGCCCTTGAAGGAAGAAGCCAAGGCCTTGAGGGAGGAGAGTAAAGTTTTGAAGGATGAGAATCGGGCCTTGGCGGGCGCTCTCGGGGAGGCCAAGCTCCATAACGAGGCTGAGCTTCAAGCTGCCCAGAGGGAGGTGGAGAGGCTCCGAAAGTCTCTGGAGATTGCTTTGCGATCTAACGAGACTTATGTTGTGCAGGTTCGCGACTTGCAGCAACTCTCTAGTTCCTCCCGGGCTTGTGTACGTGCCTTGGAGGATGAGGTCACTGCGCAGAAGGCTGAGCTGGTGGCGGCGGCCGAGAAACGTCTTTGTGACGAGGTGCTTCTTAGCGGGCAAGCAGAGGAGAATGCAGCTTTGAAGGTGGACCTGGCAAGGTTGGAGGAGGCGAAAATGGGGCTGGAGAGGAAGCTCGAGGAGACCGAGCGTTCTATTGTGGTGGAGCATAAGAGGGGTTTCCTCAAGGCTACTCGCCAGTCCAGGATCCTTGCGCCAGGGTTCGACTTTTCCACCATGCATGTGGAGAAGGTCATCCGCTTCGGGAAGCTGGTGATGGAGGATGATGTCGAGGATAGCTCCAGCGAGAATGCCTCTGCGTAGGCTAAATTTGTAATAGCCTAGTTTAATTTTCTCTGCTTTATTTTTCTTCTTGCATTCAAGTGTTGAAATTTGCAAACACAAACATGAATATGCTTGGGTACAACTTTATTCACCTTCCACAGCCTTATAGGGAAATGTCTATCTTTTCTTATTTATAATTTTTGGGCTGAGAAGTATGAGCTATTTTTCGCTTGGCTTGGTGGAAGTATGAGGAGGGAATTTCTTTATCTACTTCAACCATCAATTTTGAAGATTGACTGTTGATTATTTAATTTATAGACTTGCATCCTTGCTACAATCTATTAGATGTATGTTTTGCATTGAAAAATATGATAATTAATTATGCATCAATTAACAAACTAGGTTGTAATTAACTTTCACCGCTTAAACTAAAGTAGAAATAGGAAGTGGGAGAAATTTTGGCGTGAACTAAAACACTTTGCACTACATGCAAAACTTTTGTGCAGTAATTGCAAGCATAGCAGTTACTTACCAGTCGAGACTAATCTGTCTCTTTGTTTTGGCTCTCTTTCCCGCTTTTTTCACCATCATATCACTAGTGTAAGTAAAAGTTCAATTTTGATGCTTATTAATAGTATAAATCTTGAATTAACATTGCTTCATATATGGTACTTTAACTAAGTTATCTACTTTTCAAATTTTGATCTAAATTATGTTTAAAATGAAATATCTATTGTGTGTGTTCAATGCTCACAGTTTTTAAGTAAAGATTAGTCACTATTTGTAGTGTTGAATATTTTGTACCATTATTATGATTATTTAAAAAAATTGTAAATCTTCAAACTGCAAATTCATTAAACTTTAGATATAACTTTTAAACAGTTATTATTTTCAATCATGATTAGTTTGAAGATGTTAAAAATCTTTACATTATCAGGTACTTTTTAATTAAATTAAAAAGTAATCTGTTGTAACAATTGAATAGCAGAGGTAATTTCTCGTATTAATTGAAAAGGGGGACGAATGACGTCATTCACCCCAACCGCGATATGAATACAACTCGATCATCAGCCTCACATGCGAGTGCATCATGAATCCCACGGCTTATTCCCATCCATTCTAAGAAATATAATAGAAAAAGATTTTAAATAATACATATATGATACTGCGTAACCGTTTTTTCTTTTTCATATTTGTTGAATTATTGCACCCTTTTTACTAAAAAAACAAATTTAGAAAATCAATCATTATTTAATAACTACCATTTTTCGCATACAATCAATCATGAGTAAGAGAGTTACAGCTTTGATTGAATAATCATCATTTACTTTATTAAATTTTTATTTATTTTATATTATTTTTAAAATTAATATTAAGAGATATAAAATATCTCTCTTTTCTCGGTTATAAATCATATAATAGAAATTTTCTATGTTATATATACAATTATATGATAAATGTTTCAAATAAATAAAATAATTTATCATTTTTTTTCGCTGGTTTTATTTATCTAAATGAGAGATTCCC